ATCGTTCACTACCTACAAGAACCAGAGCCTTACTAATATTTGAAAAACCGTAGACTTTCAACAAATTCAACCATGACCATGTGGAACTGTGATATTAAATCTGTTCTATGATTGAATCTCAGACGCCTGCGCACCATTTAAGTACACACAACAAGTTGAATGGAAACTGCTGTGAAAGGAAGAAGACATACTTAAACAAGTGTTTACAGGCAACAATTATGAAATGTCAAGAGTACAACAAATAACCAGTTTGAGAAACTACAGTTAACAAGGAAAACAGAGTTAAAGTACGTACAACAAGCTCTAAGCTTAGAAATGCTGACTTGACAGTTCCTGTCATTTTCAGATTCTAAAAACAAGCAAAGTAAAATTTCAAGAACAATTTTCTAGTTTTACAAATAATCACAGCGGCTCCATACGGGCAAGAGGTATTGTTATTATTCTTCTCTGCGTGGGTTTCGGGTACGTGTGCGTGTGTGTGTGTGTGTGTGTGTGTCAGAGAGAGAGAGAGAGAGAGAGAGAGAGAGAGAGAGAGAGAGAGAGAGAGAGAGAGAGAAAAGAAAACAAGGAACAACTCTCCTTAACAAGCTTCTTGAAAAGGATAAAGGATTTGCTGAAATCAGTTGTGTTTGGCCGAAAGGTGCAGATATCACAGTCTCAACCACAACATAGTCGGAAAACTGTCCTTTCCAGGTCAATGGTAACATTATTATTGTTATTTGCAATGAGTAGATGCTCGACTACTGGCCCGATAGTTGTGGGTTCCAATACCAATGGCAGCTGATTTTTTTTTTTGTTGTTGTTGCCTTGAAAATGACTTAGGTTCCCATGACTACGTACTGGGGGAGAGGGAAAAAGGGGGGGGGGGGGGGCGAAACAGTTGTCCACAATTCAAAAAAGTATTGATTGTTTAGCATTTCGGTGTCATACTTCTTACACTGAGCCAATAAACCTAATCAATACTGGAAGTAAATAGGGAGTGGGGAAAAATTGTGCGATAATAGTAACGGCGGCGTCATATTTAGAATTGTCACCTCTGTAATCTTTACTAAGGTGTGGTCTTTTATGTGTTTCAGTATGCTTTGGTTATTCTGCCTCATAACAAAAAGCAGACGAAAAGGGCTAGCTCGGATATAAAACTGGGATGTGCGCCTTGTCGAGTACCTAATCACCTAAAAGATGTTGCATGCATCTTTTTTTGATGTTTTTAATAACGGAAGACAAAACACATTTTGATGAGGAGGAGCATACCTGTAAGACAAGGCCACTACACAACCTCGACGACTCACATGGATTGAGAAGAAAGAGTGAAACAGATTGAAAAGAAGAAAGTTGAGGATGGGTAAATCCAAAGATATTATTTAACACACTGTGTTTACTTAAAGGCATAGAAACTAGGCGAAAATCGCAAACAAGTGTGTTTAAAGTGCTGTATGCACCCGACTGAAAATTCTTCTGATGGTAGTGGAGTCATTAATTGATACCAATGGATCTGTCGCTCGTCAAGTGAGAAACTCAGGACGCTTTATGACTCTTATTTTAGTAAAAAGGCCCTTGTCTCTTAGCCGTGGCTACACTTTGTCTGGCATTAAATAGTGCTTTTGCTGCGGCTGCTATCTTCTTCATCGCATTCATTGGTTGTAAAATCCGGCATTGTTTTGATTATTAGTAAATGTCTAGACTTTTTCTTAATCAGAACACCAGCAGCAGTAGATTTACAAGGCCATATTAACAGACTCAATATGCGACACCTTTGATATAAAGATCAACTTAGACAAAACAGAAGGGATGATATTCACCAGAAAAGCAACATCAACATTGATAAATATCAGTTGAAGCAGGCGATGGACTTTGCATATCTAGGGGAAATTTTGTTTCTACTTCAGAAAGCCGAAAAAGAAAAAGAAAAACAAATATGATTCAGACGCGGTAAAGTCAATCAAGTTGTACCAATACTGAAATGGTAGCACTTGGCATTCAACACTAAGGGTTCACTGTTCAACACAATATTCTCATCAATGCTTGGCTATCAGTCACAGACGTAGACACTGTCTTCAGAAGAACACAAAAGTATTGTTCCAGGACTTGAGTTTCGCGTGCACATCCGCTTTACATTTGGAATTATTTATGTGCACTTACTCTGCTGGTTCATAGCCTAGTAGGCAAATGCACCCCTACTTCGAGAGACACGTCGATTCTCATTACGCTGAACAGGTCACCGGTTCTGAATCCGTTTCTCCGATGACCATGGAGACGTGTAGCTAAGTTCTGACTAGTACAAGCACAGGTCCTAGTGCACCTGCACGTATTGTTTAACATCTCTGCATCCCGTGACTAATGCAGCAGTTTAGCTGGAGACACAAACCTCGTGCATATGTTAACGTAGGTTTAGTGGTGTAGAATTAAGATACGCTGGTATAGCAGACATTGTTTAGAGACTGAAAGGTCATGACTGAGATAAATCAGTTAATTCGTGTGCCAGGAAATGCGGGTGTGAGAGGAAAACAACAAGATGATCCATTTACTGTAGAAATAAAACTGACAATGAACCATGCTATGTACTGAATATGCCGTGTTAGCGCAGTCGATAGGAGGCTCGCTTACAAATCCAGCTGCGACTCGCTGCAGCCACGGTCAGTGTTCTAACTGGGTGGTTCCCGGGGTTAACCCAGCTTCTAGAAAAAGGGTACCAGAGTTGACACTCTGGGGTCAATGGAAGACCGCCGCTGTAGCTACAGAGTTACGTCCGGATGGCGACACAGGCGGACAGTTTCTTATCAGCTGCCTGTACTGGTGGCAGAGCACTTATGGTTTATAACCGTGTGCAATAACGCTGGTTCACATCTCCGGACTTTTTTTTTTTAAAGAAATGAATGCCCCATGAGAAGCTTTGATTACAACTGGTGACTTCCATCTGCAACCATGAGCAGACTGCAAGAACAGGATGTTTACAAGTGTCAGGCGATGAAGAGGGCACTTAAAAGCCCGTAGAAGAATGGTAAACCAATATGGAACTGGTGCTGTCAGTGCCTACTCGCTGGAGTTAAACTGAAAAGAATGCAATTACTTTAAGAAGGAACGGTTTGTTGTGTAGTGTTGTTAAATTATAGACACATCTTAAATCCAACCTACTTGTTAAGAAAAAATAGCTTGGGAAGAGAGGGATGACCATTAACGTCTCCGAAACTAAAACCATGGTGATCAAGAGAGGATAAGAAACACCAGGTCATGATGAGACATCATGCACTGGAGCCAGCCATTAAGTTAAGATAATTTGGAACTGTAAAAGACCGGAATAGAAGCATTAAAATAGAGCTGGCTACTATAAAAGCAGCTGCTGGGAGACTTTTCCAGGCCATAAACTGAGAGTTGGGTTTTCGCAGCAAAGAAGAAAGTGTCAAGAGAGCGGAAATGGCTGCCTACAGTTCTACATAGGTGCTAGTCCAAAACTACGGATGTGAGTTATGAGCAATGACAACACCTTACAGAAGCTAGCTTCAGGCCTCAGAAATGAAATCTCTGAGAGAGGTGGTCTGGGTGATCAGAAAGTTAGCAGTCAGAAAATACGTGAGGTACTTGAAGCTCAGGCCTTACAAACTCGATTGGATCAATCACAGTTACGATTTTTTAGACATGTATGCAGAACGGAAGAGCATAGGCCAACGTGGCAGGCATGGGAGGCCAAAAACCAGGAAACGAAACCACCTGGACGCACCAGAGTTCGCTGGGAAGAGAAAATCCGACAGTGCGTAACTGATTGAGGACGGAAGTGGAACAAAAACTACAGATAGAGAAATCTGGCGATATCTCTAGCATCAGCAGCTATTTGACACCTGCCCAGTATAACTATTAACTCAATGTGCACTGGCATTTTTTACTGGTGGTTCTGTCCATTCTGCACCTAGTCTAACATGTTCCGGTAGGAATATTTAATTAATGGTGTTCTGTGCTTGCACCACCAAGAACCGCTCCTTCTTTATGCGCTTACCTTTGTTCATCCGTAGAAAGCTGTGCAGAGGATGTTATATGTCAGCAGCAACAACCAGGTACGCTCAGGCCTGGGCAGTCTTGTGTCTAATGACCATGTCTGGTAGATCGAGGACACATCGCGCTGCATTATATGAGGGGTCTCTTATGCATCTAAAGATCAGTCTCATGGCTTCATGTCACACACACTCTAGTATTTTCCACCTTACCTCTGCTGAATGTGACAGGACCACGCCTCCTGAGAGCTCTAAACTCCAATAAAACATACACAGCAGCTTTCGGTCCTGCTTGGCAGCTGCCATTATCCTAAACACTGCCAGGCCTTTATCAGCTATGATAATTATAATATCGACATAATATCAGAAGGGCAGACGCCAGTCAAAGTAGATACAGAGATATTCAACGGTTAGTGACCTTTCGATATCATATCCACACGTACTGAGAATAAGCATGGGCGTCTGTTGTTTCGGGAGAACCGTGCCACTGTAGCCACTGTAGCCATAGTCTAGCCCTTCATGCCGCACATCATCTGGTTAGTCCGTAAAGATCCCTATGCAGAGCTTATGCTGCCTCATATCAGTTTTTAACCTGCCGATACCTTAGTACATGACTAGCAGAGGACACAGTGTGCTCCGGTCGCATATTCTGGATTCTGGATCAATGGTTAACCGTACCTGTTTCAATGCCTATCTGGAAAGGTTTCATAAATGGTCTTTGATTCTTTGGACATATTTATGCATTATCCAGAACTTTAACAGTGAGATTTCACGTCCGATTTTCTTACAGTGGTTTTGCCATTAAAGTGCTTCGCTTCTTTGGTACGCTGCTTGAAGACTCCTGTTAGCGCATCTTCCCTAGTCTGAGCCACTAAGTGTCTGGTGTGTTTGTCATTTTCCCACGCCTTCTGTTACTCTTTGCTAAACAATATGGCTACTAATATGATGTGTAACAACTAATAGTGTACGTGACTACCAACATAACTAATATAATTACAGTAACAATATATGACCTACCTGTCCACAGCTATAACAACCAACGTGTTGACAGACGCACAGACAGCCACGCCCTGCAAATATGGCGTCGCCCTACACATGAAAGCTCCGAACTGCCATCCTGTGAAAAGAGAGAAACAAATTGACATTGAATGCTGACTTTCTCACAATCTTGTAGTATTAGGCACATAAATAATTGATGTAATATGTAAAAGCTTTACTCAATAGAATTTTGTATACACACATACACGCGCGCGCGCGCGATCGCGCACGCACACATGTACACTGTACAAAAAAATAGACAATACGATGAACATTTAAAGATTAATTCGAACTTTTTTTCTTGAACGAATAATGAAGATCAAATCATCAAATTTTGAACACTTCAGATATGAAAAGCTAGTGTTCCAAAGACTAGCTGCAATAATTAGCAAAAGTTGGCATGCAATGTTACAAACAGATAATTATGATTCAATTTCTAGTTGCGAGGAAAAAAAAAACTGTGGTTAGCCTTCACAGATGTTTGTTATCTGGGTATGGTAGTTGGGCTATCGACAAGCACCTAGTTGCTGGCTTGGTTCAGAAAGTTAGGGCAGTAGAAAGTCGAGAGGTAGATACAAGAGAGCCACCATTTTATTTAAACCTAAAGAAATGGCCATGATAAACTGAAATATAGACAAGTAAAAATACCATTAGCCAGAGACGTATTCGACATAAAATGCTAACAATTGTTTAACCGACATTTACTCTTTTACTTTCCAGGCCCTTATCTGATACTCGTTTTAGACTGGCTCCAAGGTCACTTTTGAAAATAATACTGACTAGATGCTGATTCAAATTTAAGACATTCGAACCACATAGCTACGTACGCAGAACACAATCTGATAGATACAAGACGTGCATGGCCGTGTTTCGCCATGATGTGGTGTTTGTTAAAACAGTGCACTGAGATTCCATTGTCAGTTTGGATGTTTGATTGACATAGTGAGATATATTGTCAGTAAAATCCATACATTTTGCACAAACAGTTTGCGGAAAATTGCTTTCCAAATGTGAGTTGTACAACACATCAAAACACGAGGTCAAAGTATCGCAGTAGCTATAATTATAGCCTGTCTACGCGACAGATTAAGATTTAATACTCCATACAGGTCAATTTATGTTGTAACTGTACCGGGCTCCAAAATCGAGTCAGCGGTTTCCAGTATTTGTAATGGGATGAAAAGGCAGCTGGCGTGACACTAAACACATCAATTATCTTGTGTTGACTGGATCGTAAATAAATGGAGCATCATCATATGTCAACCATGTCTTGACGAATAGAAACAGGGCCTTTTTTTTTTTGTAAAATGAAAGCAGAGCATGTTTTGATAACAACGTTCAAATGTTTTAATAGTTACAAATGTGTCCCAGATTTTGAAGTTTAAAGAATTAGGCGCAGTAAGAATCGCTGACTTAATGCCATTAGGGATCGTCGCCGGGACTACATAATTTATGCTGTGGACTGGCAGTTAGCCTGTCTGCGGAGAGAGATTGTGTCATGGGATGAAACCTAGTACAGGAAAGTCAGTCCTGACAACTTCCAATCGTTAAGCTTTTTTAATGAATTCACAAAATGCAAATCATTCAGGGGACTCAACTGTGCTGGAGCTCATATCTAGGATTTCTCTTCTTCCAGTTGTCTTACTCGCCGATAACGGCTTCCAAAAAGAACAATAATGCTTCGACAAAAGCTTCGATAAAGAACAATAACGGCTTCGATAAAGAATGATAAAGGCTTCGATAAAGGACGATAAAGGCTTCGATAAAGGACGATAAAGGCTTCAATAAAGAATGATAAAGGCTTCGATAAAGAACAATAACGGCTTCGATAAAGAATGATAAAAGCTTTAATAAAGGGACGAAAAAGGCTTCGATAAAGAATGATAAAGGCTTCAATAAAGAACGGTAAAGGCTTCGACAAAGGACAATAAAGGCTTCCATAAAGAATAATAGAGGCTTCGATAAAGAACAATAAAGGCTTCGATAAAGAACAATAAAGGCTTCCAAAAAGGACAATAAAGGCTCCCGTAAAGAATGATAATTGCTTCAATAAAGGACGGTGAAGGCTTCGATAAAGAAGAATAACGGCTTGGATAAAGAATGATAAAGGCTTCGATACAGGACAATAAAGGCTTCGATAAAGAGTGATAAAGGCTTTGTTAAAGGACAATAAATGCTTCAATAAAGAATGAAAAAGGCTTCGATAGAGGGCAATAGAGGCTTCGATAAAGTATGATATAAGCTCTGATCGAAAGCTGGATTGTTTCCTCCAACAGTCCACATAAGCTGAGAATCGAAACGAGTCCCTAGAATTCAACGCTGCCAAGACTACATTTCTTATCCAAACATACTAACGGTAACAGACAAACAAGTAAAACATGTATGATTCCTGCATGCTTTATCACAGAAACGTTATAACGGATTTAGTGCGGTGGGTGGAGATTCTTTTGGCTTATATACGAATGTACAAGAATATTTATACATATTTTTGATCACACTGATAACGATTCTTGAACAAAATCTTAAATCTAATTGATAGGAATTCTTTTAGTACCCAGCAGCTCAACTTACGTTGATGGTCATTTTTAAAGGTATATTATTTTCTCTATCTTTCCCTCCCTCTCTGTCTCTCTCTCTGTCTCTCTCTCTCTCTCTCTCTCTCTTTCTCTCTCTCTGTCTCTCTCTCTCTCTCTCTATCTAAACCATTCTCCAAATCTCTCTCCATACTGACGCAGTAACTTTTTGAAAACATCTTATTTTATTTTTGCATAGATTTGCAGAAACGTGTTATTTCCATTTCCTTTATGTTTATGAAATTTTTGCTTCTCATTATCATCTCACTGACAGTGGACCAGTGGCCTGGATACCAGCCCGGATATATCAGATCAAGAACTACACACATGTCAGATCAAAATCTATACACATGTCAGATCAAGATCTATAGACATATTAGACCAAGATCTATACACATATAATATCAAGATCTATAGACATATTAGACCAAGATCTATACACATATCAGATCAAGATCTACACACATGTCAGATCAAGATCTATACACATGTCAGATCAAGATCTATAGACATATTAGACCAAGATCTATACACATATAATATCAAGATCTATAGACATATTAGACCAAGATCTATACACATATCAGATCAAGATCTACACACATGTCAGATCAAGATCTACACCATGTCAGATCAAGATCTATACACATGTCAGATCAAGATCTATACACATGTCATATCAAGATCTACACACATGTCAGATCAAGATCTATACACATGTCAGATCAAGATCTATAGACATATTAGACCAAGATCTATAGACATATCAGATCAAGATCTATACACATATCAGATCAAGATCTACACACATGTCAGATCAAGATCTGCACACATGTCAGATCAAGATCTATACACATGTCAGATCAAGAGCTATACACAAATCAGATCAAGATCTACACACATGTCAGATCAAGATCTATAGACATTTTAGACCAAGATCTATAGACATATCAGATCAAGATCTATACACATGTCAGATCAAGATCTAAACACATGTCAGATCAAGAGCTATACACATATCAGATCAAGATCTACACACATGTCAGATCAAGATCTACACACATGTCAGATCAAAATCTATAGACAAATTATACCAAGATCTATAGACATATCAGATCAAGATCTACGCACATATCAGATCAAGATCTACACACATGTCAGATCAAGATCTATACACATGTCAGATCAAGATCTCTAGACATATTAGATCAAGATCTATAGACATATTAGACCAAGATCTATAGACATATCAGATTAAGATCAATGGACATATCAGATTAAGATCTATAGACATATCATACACAGATCTATAGACATATTATACCAAGATCTATAGACATATCATACCAAAATCTATAGACATATGAGATTAAGATCTATAGACATATCAGATTAAGATCTATAGACATATCATACCAAGATCTGTATACACATCATAGTATTGTCTTACCTCACCCGCATAAGACTGCAGCTACACACAGACTGTATGGGTGTTATCGTTACCACCATTACAACTTTGTTGGATGTTCTTGTTCTACTTATTTACTTCTCTAGGTTACTTCATCGAAGTGTTGGTAAAAAAAATGGGAGGGCTTAGATGGGTGTAGGGATCTTTTGTATTTTCTTTTCCTTTTAAAGGCTTATTCCTAACACCGTCGTTCCATCGTCATGTGGTCTTCCCCTTGGTCTGTGACAACTATTTTTCTTCATCGCGCTTCTATGGAAAAGTTAGGCCCGGGGTATTATCATTTGTTCCCAAACAAATTGTATGAGTGATTTCAGTTCCAGTAATCGTCTTATCTCTTTACTTTCAACTGCATCCATTCTTGTTACTCCAGCCACTCTTCTGAGACATCCCATCTATGTTATGTTTTTTGTGCTCATAAGTTTCAGTAAGGTATATGTTTCTTATTGGTAGCTTAAAGCTGGCCAAAATATCATTCTCACTAGATTTTCCATATGTATATGTGTAAAACCGGTGTTAGGTGTAATCTGAAAGTTATCTTGTGTAACTTGGATTTGCTTTGTTAGTTTGTCATTGCAGATATGATTCTTGAAGTCTCATGTGTGGTCTCACCCTCTGTTGTTGTTGTTATCGATACAGCGGTGCATGAGCTTTCGCCCTTTGGTCCAATGCCATGTAGTGGAATTTGCATGTTTTCACAAGCTGTTCTTTTCCTCCGTACAAGATGTTACACTTGTCTGGTCTCGGAGGGAGTAGCATTATTACTGTCTCGCTGTGTTTTGGGCACTCAAAGAGATGGTGTTCAACAGTTTCGTAGGAGTAGTTACATAGCTGACACTCTGGGGAGTGTTGTAGCTGTATTCTGTTTAGATGTCCATTGAGTGGAGTATGTTGCGTTCTAAGTCTGACCTAGCAAAACCTCTCTTACCTCAAGACCATTGTAAGTGGCGAAGAGTCACAGCCTCCCCGAGGTAGTCCTGGTAACATGGGGTGCGAATCCCCAGGCAAAACACAATGGATCTAGAGGAGCAAACCTCGATA